GGGCACCCTTCTCGAGACCCGGGTCGACCTGGGTTTGCGAGGTGTGAAGGGGTGAAAAGTTTACTCATTTCTTCATGTAAAGCCGGGTTGGCTTGACCCGAGATCATGTAAAGTGCGGTAAATCCCTGATTGTGAACTTTGCACCTAGCGTCATATAACATTTCAACATTTTGCGCGCGTATTTTCTCCGTCTCTTTGTTTGGTACAGACATATAAAATCATACAGTATGTCAAGTAAAAACGGTCCAATACCAAAAGAAAAAATGCTCAACCTGCGTTTCAGTGGTCATCTGAAATGATTGATTACCTAATCGTTTCTCTGAAGGATTATAAGACGGAGATGGATTATAAAAATGTAGATTTCAACTCCGATGTTGTCGCAATGTCTAATGCCAAATCTAAAGTTAAATGTACAAAGTTCTAAATGATTTGGCTCCAAGTTCGCTCGATACTCTTTTCGTACACAATAGAAACATAAGAGAATATGATCTTAGGGATCTTAGCTCCTCTACTTCACTACAACTACCTCTACCAAAAACTGAAAACCTTAAGAAAAGCTTCTGTTATGATGTGTGGAACTGTGGAATTCATTACCTGCAGATATGCGTGATTCAGATACATTAACATTCATAAATGCAATTGACGCATATAATTTCTAATATAATGTTATTAATTTTGTACATTATTGTTTTGTAGTTATTTGTAGTTTAGTGTGTGTAATATTTTGTATATAATATCATGTAATCCACACGCCCCTCGTGGAAATGGCAGCATATAGTTGACGGGGCCAACGTGTGATCTTTTAAAGGGTATTGGCAACAAAAATTGCTTCATCTATCTTATTGCTTCATCTGAAAGAGCATGAAAAAATAAGCCGATTGGCCGTTTAATGCTCTATTCTATCTCATCTAGTTCCGAAGTTATACGCAAAAATGTGAAAATATAAATTGCTGATTCAGCACAACGTGTGACGTCATTAGCTGGGTAAGTATGTTTATTGAATACTACACTGAAGCATAGCTCAGTTATTATGAGCCCAAATCAAATGAAATTTTGCATACTGATTGTACATGATGAGACGCATGGAAAAACACTTCTAATTTTGTTGCCAAGGTAACAATGTCGTTTCCAGGCCCCTTGCGCCAATTTTATGAAACAGCTTTATTCAAGGTACTGATAAGAATAAAATAATATCAGAAGTATGTGTATGATACCTATGCATGCCAAAAGTTTACTTGCATGATAATAATTCGAAAATGACATACACATAGATAAATGCAACTAGTTATTCAAAATCAGTGTAAGAGGCCTGGGAACGACTGTGTTGTCTTGACAACGAAATTAGAAGTATTTTTCCCATGCATCTCATCATGTACTATCTGTATGCAAAATTTCATTTGATTTGAGCCAATAATAACTCAGCTATGCTTTAGTTTACTATTCAATAAACATACTTACCCAGCTTATGACGTCACAGAATGTGCTGAATCAGCAATTTATATTTTGCACATTTTTGCGTATAACTTCGGAACCAGATGAGATAGAATAGAGCAGTAAACGGCCAATCGGCTTATTTTTTCATGCTCCTTCAGATGAAGCAATAAAATCAATAATTTTTTTTGTTGCCAATACCCTTTAAATAAAGTTTTACCTGCCTACCTAATGTATTCAAAGTTGCGTGAAGGTCTGGCGTTGCCGTTCGATGCCGAATATTTTGGTCCAGTAGATCTGCCAGTGCAAGATAGTGAGTTTAAGGCAGAAGTTGCTGCGGCTAAAATTCCTGATAAAAAAGGGATATAATCGTATAAAATAGATAAGCATCCAAAACTAAAAGGGATATAATCGTATAAGGGATATAAGCGCCAAAATGCACTCTACTCCAGTCTATTGCTCGGAATTGACCCAAGTTGGCAAAAATTGTCGTCAACTCGGATTCATGTAAACAGGATTTAAAAATAACCACCTGTGGCGTGCTGACCCGGGTTGAAAATCAGCTCGGGCTCGTAAAAGGGGGCCTTTTACTCGGTCTGACGCCAGACAATTTTACTTAGACAATAGCTGGATGCTATTTAACATTAAATAATATAAAAATTAACATTTCTAATGACGTCAGCAATTGACACGCAATGCGTTATAAAACACGTACAATGGCGTGAGATCGTCGGGTCATATATGTAAATTCCAGGAGACACCAATGGTCACGCGGATTTGTTCATATATAGCATAATATTTTGTTTTCGTGATTCTTGTATAAGGGATTTTGTGTAGATTAATATATCGAGCCATGCACCTTAAACAAAGTTTTCACTAGATTTCATTACAATCAAATTACCTCTGTCAATGCTTTACATTTTACAGGTATATTATAAATAATTTTGAAACAAATGATAGCGATATTACATTTATTAAACGACGTTTCGATGCTACAGCGTGCATCATTTTCAAGTTATAGTAATTACATATATTGCGTTGATTTTAATTAAACAAATTTTGCATGCTTACGCAATAATTTGGTAACGTGACAGGAACGGTTTAATTAAAATCAACGCAATATATGTAATTACTATAACTTGAAAATGATGCACGCTGTAGCATCGAAACGTCGTTTAATAAATGTAATATCGTTATCATTGTTTCAAAATTATTTTCAAAAAAGTTTTTTATATTATAAATAAAGCGACCTAACGCCTCTGCGGAGGAGAGTACTATTGCTTCCAATTAATTCCCAAACTACAACTAATCTAGTACCCATATAGCAAAATGTTTACATTGCCGCCCACAAAAATGGCCGAGAAGTAAGTGCATGCCCTTTACCAATAGCGAGCTTAAGCAAGCGACGTTTTTGACAACACGAGCGACATGAGTAACGTTAAAAGACTGGGTCAAGAATGTTGGTTGGTTGATAACGTCAAATTTGCTTCCAGTCAACGTTCGTGTTGTCAAAAACGTCGCTTGCTTAAGCTCGTTAATGCCTGTCCCCGCCGCTTCACGTTGCTTCCGGCGCTCCTGATCAGAGCAATGGGGGTTTCTTCCTTGCTATGATAACTGGAAGTTTTGTTGCCTGCTTTGCTTAATTGCAGCCTGTAACATTCTTCAAGTTTCAACATTTAAAATGTTGTGTATTACAAGTTTGCTTTTTTTGCTCATTTAACCTGAAACACAGGTGTGGCAGAGCCATTTTTTAATTTTTTCTCTAAAAAAAACTTGTTGGCCGACCAACAAATAACACCCTCTCCCTCAGCCCAGACCTAGGGTTAGAACCTTTACTCGGCTTGCTTTGGTCCATTTTGGGCAAGTATAACTAGACTCCCTATCATGCCCGTGTTTTACAACAATTTCGTTACAGACCCTTCAACTCACACAGTTTCATCTTGTACATACGATTTTAAGTCTAATCTCACACGAATACCTTGGTTGTTTACCGTTTACATGGAAAACCCATTTGGTTTGAAATTGTGCTAATGGTAAGCAAAATTTCGGATAGAAAAGACCATTCGGATTATGCGCTTTCCATTTAGAGTGACTGACCGGAAGGCACCATTTACATGGAAAACCCATCCGGTTTGAATTAAATCGCGAAGAGCCTGAAACTAGTGAAAAAATAAAAAAGATGTAAATGGAACAAATTCACCGGTTGAAATGTTCCAATCGGTAAGAGACGACAACCTATTCAAACAAACCTTTCATTCCGGAAAAGTTCCGGTTGGGCCGTCGAAATATGCTTGTCCATTTACATTCCATATGGAATCACCGGAATTTCCATGTAAATGGTAAACAACCCTTGTCTTCGCATGACCACCTCTCTGGAATTCATCTTGTATACACGGTTGTATTGATCAAACATTGAACAAGCTCGTACCTATATATCTTGTGCTTAGCTGTAGTCGCCGTGTGCTCTATGAACAGTTTTTTGTCCACGAACAAATCTAATTTGGGATCTGTATAATCCATTGTTTGTAATAAGATTGACTGATTGGCATAATTTTTATATATTCTGAATTTGTTGTATGATATTAATTTAAGATATGTTTTTTCTTATTGTCAGATGTTACAAGACCCACGCATGGTATCCTGATTGTCCGAAGGGTGCTAAATACATTGTTATTTACCGTGAACCATGTGCTGCTTTCAACAGTTTCTTTAAATTCTTTGAGGGTTGGATGTTCCAACCTGGAGAAGTTTCACTTCATGAATTTGTAAAGGATTTTTTGCTCGCTCGTGAAGTACCACAAAACAAGATGGAAAATGCATCCTATTTCGTACACTTGATTAGCTGGTGGGAACACAGGAATGATTCGAATGTTTTGTTTCTGTTCTTTGAGGATATGAAAGATGATTTGGAAAGTGTAGTTAGGAAGACTGCAGCATTCATAGGAATTCAGGATGAAGAAAAGATTGAGAAGGCTGTGGAAATGAGCTCTTTTGAATTTATGAAGGGAAACCAGAAGAAATTTGCAGATATGCGCATCGCACGTTATCGGAATGTAGCTTGCGGGATACCCCATGATGTTGTGCCCAATAAGGTTGTCACAGGATCTGCATCAAAAGGACGAGAGTTAATGGATGATAAAACTAAAGAAATAATTCAAGGAAAGTGGCTGGAAGTTGTTGCTAAACAAACTGGGTTTCAAGATTATAATGAATTGAGAAGTGCATTCTAAAAGAATAATAATTAAGAAATATTTAAAATTGTTTTAGTGTATAGGAAACTATACAGATTAGGGGGTGATGGTGACGTAGTTGACATATCACTTGAATTTGTTAGGTGCTACCATCTTAGTGATTGGGGTTGGGATTATTAATAACTTTGTACTTGTTGGTGTGGGGTGTAAAAACAATGACTTCGTTTGTGACTTTGTGAAAGTGTGGACTTCTACAACGTCACGTGTTCAACTGCATGTAAAGGGAACTTATGAAGGGAAACCAGAAGAAATTTTCAGATATGCGCATCGCACGTTATGGGAATGTCCAATAAGGTTGTGATAGGATTTGCATCAAAAGGACGAGAGTTAATGGATGATAAAACTAAAGAAATAATTCAGGGAAAGTGGCTGGAAGTTGTTGCTAAACAAACTGGGTTTCAAGATTATAATGAGTTGAGGAGTGCATTCTGAAAGGAAAAGAGAAATAATAATTAAGAAATATTTAAAATTGTGGGTGATGACGTAGGGGTGATGACGTAGGTGACATATCACGTAAATTTTGTAGGTGCTATAATCTTAGTGATCGGGGTTGGGATTATTAATAACTTTGTACGTGTTGGTGTTGGGTGTAAAAACTATCTTAATTTAAAACTTACAAGTTTGTGACTTTGTGAAAGTGTGGACTTCTACGACGTGTTCCCCACAAGTACACAGTTTGGTAATAATAAATATAAAGTATTAGCAGTTTTAAATCCTTTATTCGCATGCTGACATTCTAAAAATATGCCCTTTGGCTAATTAGTATAGACACGTGTCCTTTGGCCGATTACTATAGGCATGTCAGTACCCTGAAAGCAAAAATCTTTGTTCAATCGGATTGTTAAGGGCGCAATAAATTTTCCTTTCCCAAGAAGTCCCTTCCCCAATAATTCCACGACTGCGAAATTCTTTGCGAGAATTCGAAATTTTGTCTGCGAAATACGGATGATTGTGCATGAGTGATTCTGTTGAATTTTCCCACTTTTTCGCTTTCTCCGTGAGTACAACTACTCACTTGTGAAGCGAAGCTTAATTTATTTATCTTTCTTTATCTTAATTTATTTAGCTTAATTTCTCGCGAAGCTTAATTTATTTATCTTTACTACGCATGCACGAATTTGTATTTCGGCGAGAAATGATAGCTAGAAATAGTGTCCCCCTCCTCATAATGGCACATTCAGTGGCGAACACTTATATTCTCGGGGGCGAATCAGGTTGCCAACCTATGACCACCTTTTGTAGCTGGAGACCTTTATTAGTTATTTTGCCTTAAATTTCAATGAGCACAGTTTTGGTCAAAACATTGAATGAAGGATGACGAGTTTTTGTGCACAAACCAACATTGTATAGGAGAAGGGGAAATTTTAAAATAGTCTACGATTCCATGCATGAAGTTCAAGGTAAACTGATATACTACAGCCACAGTGAAGAAATGTTATGAATTTCCAATCCGTGGGCAGCTATAGGTTTTAATGATGCATTTTATGATTCGAATATATATGTCGATGTTTGAACAATATCTTACTGAAAATAATTTAAAACATATTTCACACTAGCCTCCTCCGCAGGCATCGCCTTTAGATTACCGGGCAAAATTTGCTTGCATCGACTTTGTAATGACCAATGTAAATGAAACACGAGATGCCTGCGGAGGAGGCTAATTTCACACTTAGTAGCAAATGAAAAATGCTGCATTTTAGCATTATCCAGAGACCATCGTAACAGTATTGCCAAATTAAAGAGCCATAAGTGTACAAGGGGGGGGGGGGGGCATTGATTGCGTGGTATTAACAAAGAAATCGTTCAAACATTCCTGATAGGGCACCCGTACGTCAGAGCCTGTTGATAAGTTGTACATAGTCATAGAGCAAAAGAAATCGAATATGTGACAATGGTCAGGATCTGGTCAGATCATGCACTCCTTTCCGTAAGGCATTTCCGTCCTTGTGTTCATTATTTAACAATTATTCGCCGAAGGCGAAGTGATTACCGGTGAATATTCACCGAGACGAAGTCGAGGTGAATATTCACCGTAATCACTGAGCCTGAGGCGACGTAATCACTGAGACTGCGAGTAATTGTTTTACTATAAATTTTTAATAAATAATCATAGGTAGTCCAACAATCCGCACGCTGTGACGTATGATGCAGTAGTGTAATGTCCTATATTTAACAATTATTCGCCGAAGGCGAGGTGATTATCGGAGAATATTCGCCGAGACGAAGTCGAGGTGAATATTCCCCGATAATCACCGAGCCTGAGGCGAATAATTGTTTTAGTATTTTTGTGTTTTTTGGGACTGAATTTATTTTAATTTCGCTTATTTCTTTATCAGTATAATGGCCACACAACGGCTAGCCGCCATTTTGAATATTTCGATTTTGTTATATTCACCTATAGGTGAATATAACAGCTTAATACGTCAAATTTGACCAATCAATTGTAGGATTTGTTATGTTCACTTGTGCAAAAATACTAAAAGGTGATATTCATGATGTAAAGACGTTGTTTTCCACTAGCAGATAGTTAAAACGCAAACAGCTTTCCTAATGGAGGAGATCCACATGCTGATGCATAGGTACTGTTAAGAAACCAACCTGTACATAAACTATAGGGATACAAGGATAGTGTAAAGTTCCAAATTGAAAAAGACACGGCAAGAACTGTATAGGGTCGCCGACAACCTAGAACAATAAGAGCAGGCATAGGCTACAGCAGGCATAGGCTACAGCAGGTATAGGCTACAGCAGGCATAGGCTACAGCAGGCATAGGCTACACCAGGCATAGGCTACACCAGGCACGTTGCTCAAAAATGTGGATTAGAACAACGTTTTTACGAGAAAACCAATTTCTTGGCACTCCCTTCGTAACTCGTTATTAAATGTTGAATTGCAAGAGCTCTTATTTGGGCATGACGACTTTCTGTTTTGTAAAGCTGATGGCCTACACTACGAAATAAACAGTTAGCATAGGCATTTCATCTCATTATCTATTGTTTTAAGGTGCCTATATCACTTGTGGGACCTTCATGGATTCGAAAAGAGCGTAAAAAGTTAGTTAATAAGTTCAAAAAATTTTTTTGATTTAGTGCAATAATTTCGAAGATACAGGCCTCTAAACTACCTACAGTTCCTGAGACCCAGGCTCCTATTGACAATGGACAGTTTTGAAAAAGGCAAAATTCAATAGCCGTGTTTAGAGCCCACGAGCCTGGGAGGCCTGTATCTTCCAAATTATTGCACTAAATCCAAAAAAATTTTTGAACTTATTAACTAACTTTTTACGCTCTTTTCAAATCCATAAATGTCTCACAAGTGATATCGGCACTTTAATGCGTTCGGCACACGGGTAGCGTGACGTTTGAAACAAGTCTAACACCCCAGAAACGTCGTGCCTCGTGGAACTGATACAATTTATTTATTTATTGTGATGCTACACGCGACAACTCGAAATTTAAATTGTTTCACCAACAACCAAATTTTGTATATTCTAAAACTACATTAATTTTGCATTGGGAGCTGTCGCTGAAAGTATCCCCATGATATACTAAACTAGTTTAAAACTATGATTATTCCCATCATCCTTTCAGCGCCCATATTGCACATTTCACTATTGTCTCAGTGAGTACTCTTTAATTGAAATAGCTGTATAATTAGTTAATACGACGTTGCATCCATTACAAAATAACATAAATCAAAAACACAGAAACGTAAAAATGAGGCGGAAAACTCATTATGACGTATTTTATCCCCATATCCGTTCCGCATCTGCTCCGTTCCGCATCCGCTTCCGCATTTTAACATAATTGTGACAGACATGTTTCACAATAACAAGTCTCATTGACCTTTGACTTTATATTCCCAAGATCAAGTTGCTTTTCATGCATTTTCAGCTTTTCGCAAGTATTCAAGATCCATTCAATAATGTCACTTTAGATTCACTTTAGATGTCAATAGTTTCACAGTTATAGCAGCGTTTATAGCAGTTTTGATAAAGCTTTGATACAGGTAGATTCTTGTAAGATCTAGTAGAGTTCTCATTGCATTGAATACTGCATTGAACACGAGTTGATTATCGAATTGTAAAGATATGAAGCTTTATATGTAAAAGTTGCCCCATGTAGTGGCTTTATACTAGTGTAACCTCTTTTAAAATGTTCCTGGTCAAGCATGCATGTACTTTTCAGTACTAACTGTTTTTAGTGTAAAGTTTCACTTTACACTATTGTGATGGTGGCGAAAATTCACACTTATCAGTCAGTCATTCAGTCAGTCAGTCATTCAGTCAGTCAGTCAGTCAGTCAGTCATTCAGTCAGTCATTCATTCAGTCATAGAGTAAACTTTCCGGGGGGTGTACACGATTTATGTTCTCAGTGATTTATTGTACTTAGTCAGTACTTTGAAAGTTTTTTAGGTAATTTCATCTGTCTTCTTTAAATATTCTTTAGGCCTTTTGCCAGGTTCACAAAAATTTCGAGGAATCGTTGTCGTTACTGTTCGTTATCGTTGACTGTGGAAGAGTCAGTCCTGCACTCGCATGAATGGTCAATTTGTTCGTGACGAATGTAAGTCGCGACCTGACTCTTCCACAGTCCCTAACACTGCTTATAACGCAAAGGACCATGGGAATGCCCCGAGGCGCGCGCGTCGGGTAATTCAACGCGCGTTAGGTAAACGACTGGAGACGAGTCAGAGTCGCGACTATGATAAGAACCCCTAGGGATTGATGTCATTGATGCTGGTCCAAAATAAGTCGCGGCTTAACAGAAATTGACCATTTATAATTTTATATACCAGTTTGTTCGCCGCGACTAATTTTCTCTCGTATAAATGACCCGACAGACCATGGAGAGCTTTACAGAAAAGGATGGTTATTTAGATAGCACTGCTAAGAATATGGAAATCAAAGAACGACGGCAACAAGTGATGTCGCAACAAGTGATGTCGCACAAGGTGTTAGTTAATACGTCATAACGAAAGGGAAAACCTTCCGTTCTTCATAAACCTTGGTCTGGTCCGTACTGAGTAGTCCAAAATCGTGAAGGTAAAACTTCATTTCTTTATTTTGTAGAAAAATGTTGAACACGTCACGTCGACTATAAATTTAAATGATGAAATGTCTACAATGGAATGCTGATGCTCAATATTTCAAATTTATTTCATCACTAACTTTATTGTGCATGCTGTCTCCACTATTCTAATCACGGTGTGGACGCTATAAATTTGTACGCTATTCATTAAATATTGCTATTAAAGTGGATTTTATGGAGATCTCTCAAGTTCCTTGAAATACGACTGTTAATTCGTCGCTAACAAGGCTACAAACGTGTATTGAATGTTCCTCATTATTGATAACTTTTCAACGAACCGATCGCGATCTCTACTGGTAAATCAACGAAATTGAACTACTGACGATTCATTAAAAATAAAGATTATAAAACTTAGAAATGGTTGCTACTAAAGATGCAAGATTTGTTCCGTAATTATATAATCATTATCCATACTGAAGCTGAATATTGGAACTGCAAATGTTCGTAGTGATTCTTTCAGAATCTTGTTAAATATAATAATCGCCACGCCAATTATGAACACATGAAACATTTACAGCAAACAAAAGTAATATATACAACAAAGGTATATACAATGAAATGCATGTAATATGAACAACACTTTGAAATAACTATTAAGTGTTCCATTAATTCGCATGTTCACCAATCGCAAATTTAATGTCAACATCTATATTGAAGAGCTTGAATCCGGGTTCTTCCATTAATTTAATTTATTGTATGATCATGATCATCCAGATTAAATTTTTTAATTGTTTCTGACGTTTCGGCTACCTAAACGGCAGCCATTATCAAAGACGTATTACAGTTACAAAAAATTTACAGTTATAACACAGAGGAGAAACATACAGAGCTGTAACTGACCGTTGTAAACACTGCGGAAGCTTACGTTTTCATGTACCCACTTTTTTTTCAGGCGACCGGGCAAAAATGATCAACTGCGCGTGCTCGGCAAGTTTTAAAGCGAGCCGCCATCCAATCAGATGCACGCATCTAGTAACTTGCCGAGCACGCGCACAAAAAAAAGTGGGTACACTAGTTACAACTCTGTATATGTATCTACTCTGTGGTTATAATAATTTTTATCTTGCGTCAAAATGACGTGCGCGTGTTCGTGAGGTTGTTTGCTCGCGCGTGCGTCAAGGCATGAGAGCCTGCATTCATGCGTAATTAATCCAGCGCGTATGTTCCTGGCATATCGCGGCAAATGTTGATGCTGTTTTCATCGCATTTTGTGAACCAGCTTTCTAAGAACATTCTCTCATCCTCAAAACCATTAAACTCCATACAAGTGGCTCCCTCCCAATCAATTCTATGGTTTGTTTCCATATGATGAACCGCAATTCAATCTATTCGCCACGTCTTGTTTCTCTGTTGATCACTTGTATGGAGTTCAATGGTTTTGAGGATGAGAGAATGTTCTTAGAAAGCTGGTAGACAAAATGCGATGAAAACAGCATCAACATTTGCCGCGATATGCCAGGAGCATATACGCTGGACTAATGTGGTGCTGGACTAATGTTGTGCCCAGAGTTCACTACCAAAACATAACTGAGCTCGAACAAGCGATATATATATATAATGTGCGTCGGGAATTTACATCTGTTAGATGGACACAATTGCGACGTAGAAATCCAAGCATACGGTTGGCCTTTGCCACAACATTTCGGATGTGCTGTGACCACTTTGGTACCAAGATCTCGTTGAGTGGATTTAAATGGGATAAATTCGTTGTTAAGATGGTACTCTGGTTGTTGGATGGATCTCTTTCGTGAAAATCTGATTATTGAGCATTTCTTATAATTAAATTTTAAGTCCCAAGTAGACGACCAATTACAGAGCGAGTTAATGTCAGACTACAGAGGGTTGCTGTCTTGTGAATAGATCGAAAACATTTGCTGTCATCCGCAAACATGAGAACCAAACTGTGAATTAACCGACTCGGGAAGATCGTTTGCGTAAATTAGGAAAAGCAAAGGCCCGATGATACTGCCTTGTGGTACACCAGATGTTACGTCCACTGACCAGGTACGTAGAAGAAAATCCGTCAATTACCACACGCTGCTTTCGCTCCTTCAAGTAGTCAGAAAACCAGTTCAAGAGTGTACCCGAGATCCCAAATTGGTGAATTTAAATAAAAGCTTGTCATGGGGAACCGAGTCGAATGCTTTGGAAAAGTCGAGGTACATAGATCATGTTCGTTTCTTTTCCAGAGTCAAGTGCTTTACCAACATTGTGGATCACACCAATGCAGGACCGACCTGTACGGAAACCGTGTTGTTGATCATGTAATATTTTATAGATCATGTAATGATTTATAGAATCATTTGTATACACCCGTCGAAGGCTATAGACTGATAGCCGAAAGCTCGTAGAAATAAATATTAAGTCAGAGACAACCTCGTACCCAGGGCTTTTTGCTTCCGCGGTTGGATGGTCATAAATAATGTAATAAAGGTTTAACAAAAGCAGAAACTCGGACATGGATTGCGTGTTCAAGGACGTTGGAAATCAGTGATAATAAGGGGATTGGTCGATAATTACTGATCATATGGGGGTCGCCACTTTTAGGGACAGGAACAACATTTGCTTGTTTCCACTCTGTTGGAACTTTACCGAGAGATAACGACATGTTGAACAATGCTGTTAGAGAGGAGCAAGCACACCTGAACACTCTTTCAAAAGTCTGGCTGAAATTCCATCTGGACCTGTAGCCTTTGCTGTTGATAGGTTGGATAGCAACGCATTAACTTCTTCGACTGTCACAGTAATCGTATCAAGTTGGTCCTGTACTGATACGGAGGTGGTACACAGAGGAGTGGGGGGTTTAGGAAGAAATACGGAAGCAAAGTACTGGTTAAAAGCACCAGCTTCCGCTGACGAAGAATTGTATTTTTCGCCAGTCATGTTCATTGTGTCTGGGAGAGGCGACTTACCGGATTTGGTTTTAAAGAATTTCCAAAACACTTTAGTATTGGACTTTACCAATTCTGCTAGGTTTTGCATGTACTCTCGTTTCTTCAATTTAATCATACGTTTAATGTCCCTACGTTTGTCACGAAATTTTTCCCAAAGAAATTTTTCCCATTTGTACTAAATATCCCATAAACATAGAATATATCATTCTTACAAATCGTATGCTTTTTTGTTTTTGGAACTGCTACTTTTTGGCGTGTAAATAACTTCACAAACCTGGCGCCAAAAAATTTAAAATAAGCTATAGGTGATTTCATGTATCCATTTAGAAGAGCAGACTAAGGATATCTTAAAACTGAAATCGGTTTCGAATACAACCATCAGGGACGTAGCAAAGCATCTGACGTTTGGGGGAGGGGGGATGTCGGAGGATTATACGTGTAATAATTATAATAAAGCTTTTTGTGATTGATTGCCACTCTCATACATAAAATTTTTACATTTTTGAAGCTCTAGGACCGAATTTCTGGCGTTTTCTAAAGCAAATTCGCAAACAAATTGCATGTAAATTGACTGTATTTTACAAAAATGGTTATCATTTCACAAAAATAATTACTTTATTACACAAATTTTACCTGAAAATGTCAAAATGTTAACTTGAATTTGCTGGGGCCAAAACTTTGAAAAGTTTAGAGCCCCCCTTCAGTATATCGAGAACTTTCAGAGCCCTCCCTTTAATGCCAGAAAATATTTCGGTGCCCCTCCATTGACATCTTCATCCCCCCCCTCGGCATAATAAATTTTCTTTCCCAAAAACACTGTAGTGTGCCTATTTTTAGTTATTTGCGCCTGGGTACGAGGCTGCCCTAGGGCTTTCTTGTGTGTCCAGGTGAGAGATGCAAGAAACAGTTATGGAATCTCCTTTCGCTCCCATGGCAAGATACGTAGCCTCCAATTATCAGGGCCAGGGCATTTTTTAAGAATTCGTCAGTGGGGAGGGGGCCATCTACAAAAAGGGACCATACTATACCGAGTGTGGAGCAATGATAGATGGTTTGTTGGTAACAAAAAGTTTGGTGTGGTATCGCATTTAATAGTAGGGGGGGGGGGGAGCAGGGCCGTAGGAAGCTCTTTTCGTTTGGGGGGGGGTGAAAGCGAGGGCCGAAGGCCCGAGGAAATTTTTAAATTTAGAGTCTCTGAAATGCCATTTCCTGGACTTTGGGGAAGATTTGACAGATTTCTGATTGTCAGAAAACAGCGTTTTTAGTATGTGGAAATTTAGAATTCAGTAGTACTAAATGGACGAAGGTGTATTTAATTAACGATATATTGGATAAGTTGCAGGAAAGTATGGATAATATCTTCATTCTTTGCAGTTTGTCATGGATTAAATAATAAAGGTCTGCATGATTTTGAAAAATGAATGATTATTAGCAAATTATTGGGGGGCTGCAGCCCCCCCCCCCCCCTCCGCGGTTGCTACGGCCCTGGAGAGGGTCTGGGGTTTTCTCCCCCAGAAAATTTTTGTATTTTTCTACCCCTATGACTGCAATTCCCTGCATTTTCTGAAACAGATTTTTGGATATACATGCAGCATTACATTATGCTGTAGATAGACTGAACCTTCAGTTAAGTACTTGCATAGTATGTTTATGTAGATACCACAACTTGGCCGTCACTTAGGGAGCCAGCTTGATAAACTTAGAGTTCCCGACTCCCACGAAGCGCCACCATGGTTGGCACAGAGCGGAAAAATTTTGAAAATTTTGCGTCTCTAAATCATCGGAAATGGCATTTTCAAAGTCTTCTATACGTCTTTTGTTTGGCCCTTTCATTAATTCGTTCATTATGATTTGTGAGTCTATGATATCCGCGAGTCAGGATGGATTATTACGAGAAATGTTATCAAAATATCGATTACAGATATTTGATTATATGTATATATGATTTCAAATACTTCTAGTTTCGAAATCAAATTGTTTTTTTTTTGGTGGGCACCAAAATTATCCCCCCCTTATAAAACACTTGGGTGAGGGCCTGTTGCCCCCTGCGGTCACTAACTTGTCCAACAACTCAAATCTATAGGGTCTGTGAAATGCAATCCACTGCCTGAGAAATGTTTAAAATCTAATAAGGTATTTATTAAACATAAAAGACAGGACATAAGATTCACAAAGCAAATTTCAGTTACTAGAATATCAAACCTCCCTTCTAAATTCCATGTTTTGCTTATATTTTAGAGAAAAGGGACTTTGACTGGGGGGGGGGCAAAATGGTTGAGTGGGGGGGCCACCATGGGGGCTGGGGGGGCTTTGGCCTCCCCAGTTATATAGTTAAAAAATGCCCTGATCAGGGCCGTAGCGAAGGGGGTATTGGGGGGGGGGGGGTTAACCTCCCCAACTTTTTTAGAATTAACATATTCGCAAAATCAGGTTGGCCATTCGGAAAATTACGGCAATAGTAGTATAACAAAATTTTAGTTGTTAAACAGAGAAAATATAATATAATTGTATTGTCAGTATAAACTGATTTACGAAGTCATGGCATTTACGTGGATAACATTTAACAAATTGTCGGTTTATTACTTCTCGGGCCGTAGCAACGGGCGGGGGGGGGGGCTGGGGGTGCTGCAGCTCCCAATAATTCGCTAATAATCATTTTTTTTCAAAATCATGCAGACCTTTACCATTTCGATAATATACCTTTAAAATGCTGACAATTGATTACTTGTTTTAAGCGGCCACATTATCCATGGCAAACTGCAAAGAATCGTATATTACCCATACTTTCCTGCAATTTCTCGGTTTTCTCCAATATATAGTTAATTAAATACGCCTTCGCTCATAGAGTACTACTAAATTGCAAGCAAATTGTAAATTTCAACATACGAAAACGCTGTACGTTTTCTGACTATCAGAATTCTGTCAAAACTTCCCCCAAAGTCCAGGAAATGGCATTTCAGAGACTCTAAATTTAAAAATTTCCTCGGGCCTTCGGCCCTCGTTCTCAGCCCCCCAATCAAAAAGAGGGCTTCCTTCGGCACTGCATGCTTCTGTAACATGTCTGTGCGTAAAATATGCGTATTTTTGTTTGTAAATTGGGTCTTCATTTTCCAGATAGCAAACACCATCGTGGCTTTGTATGCCATGAAATATTCGGAAATTTTTTTCGTCATTCGGAAATTTTTGTAAATGAATATGTACGTGTGTTTGAATATAAATTAGACCATATGGGCTTAGTAAAAAATTATTTTAATAACTACGTTTCGGAGTATAACTCCATCTTCAGGTTAAAAGTGAATAAAGATATAAAAACTGTGATAAAAACTTTCAAAACAATTACAAATTTTATATGTAAGTGATTTTTAAAAGATTTTTAATACTGTAAGAAAGTTCTAACTTCTTGAACAGGTGATGACGAAGACAATGACGAATACCTATTTATATAATAACTACAGTGAAACACGCAATTTGATTGGTCAACAGCCGTGCAGGATCAGACAATCCTGAACGGGAAATTCTGAACAGAAATTCTTGCACATATTAATATTACAAATATACTCGCATTATAAAGTTTCATTGTACTATACCTTTCGACTTTGAAGTAAGTTTCCAATTATTGAGACGTTGGTTTAGTTGTATGAATAAATTTCTGATCGATACATTGCTATTTAGCAAGTAGCAACGCGTATAGCGTTGAAATTCATCAGACCATGGCATTACCACAGAATACTACACAGAAGTCCATCTCCATTGTTTTTAGCGTAAGCTCTATTCGTCATGATTCGTCACTCGGCAAGTACCGTAAACGGAAGCAGTCGCCCCCCTGGAAATACTAAAAATGGCGTATGTTCAGGGGGGTGACTGCTTCTGTTTACGGTACTTGCTGAGTGACGAATCATGACGAATAGAGCTTACGCAAAAAACAATGGAGATGGACTTCTGTGTAGTATTCTGTGGCATTACGTACAACATCTCTCGCTTCAAAGTTGATCAAACGCTTCGCACTCTTCACATATTCAACTGGAGAATCTTCAATATTACTTTGGCTCTCTGTTTAGCGGGTTTTCCATTTCAAATTTCGTATATCTTATCGAAAAAGTCCATGTATTTTCGCTGTATATTTTCGCGAATTTGCGATCAAATTCTGTTCACATTTGTTGTTGTTTTCAATAGCGTGGAGTAGCGATTCTCTGATTGGTTAATTCACGAATGTTGTGAGAACTGCACATTTCATACATACATACATACATACATACATACATACATACATACATACATACATACATACATACATACAAGAATTTATTTAGGCACGCTGGCCTCAACAACTCGGAGCTGATTTCCATGAGGGGCGTGATTTGGACAAATATACAGTACAGGTAAACATTAAAAATACAAAAGCAAATTTCATCAGTAATTTTAATCACGTTAAGCGTCGTTTCACTGTAGTAATTTCATAAAACAATTACCAAATGGTTTTCCCATGCAGGATAGCATGATCCATGCACTTGGGATGTTGCTCGACTTTCGGAAAGCGTAAAAATACACTCGCCTACGGCTCGTGTGTTTTTACGCTTTCCGAAAGTCTCGCAACATCCCGCGTGCATGGATCACGCAATCCTGCACGGAAAACCATTCGGTATTCCTTTAGTCGTGATTTTTTTGTCGGCTTCACTTTTCGCTCGCTGTTATCATTCCAGTATATATATATATATATATAGAGTTCACTGGTTAAGGATTAAGGAGAAGGAAAATATTTTTTTGGGAGTGGAAACACTGAAAATATTGGCACAGAAGTGACAGAACCACTGAAACCGAACTTACAATTTACAAAAGGTATATAGGACTGGCATAGCCGAGGTCGGAGATTCAGTTTCTCTGTTAAGTTTTGTGGTAGCTTTTCTGAGAATGCCTTTTGAGAAATCTGGAGATGGAAATCCAGGTGTGCAGCTCCTGAAACAAAGGTTATCTAGCTTGGAAACAGAGCAAGGAAGAAGGCATGGTTTAAGTTTTAAACCTCGACCAGATGACGTGTTCGTCGTGACTCCACCTAAATGCGGCACAACATGGATGCAACAGATTCTACATCAGTTACGTAGTGGTGGCGATATGTCTTTTGATGAGATTTCCGATGTGGTCCCTTATGTCGAGGAGGCTTATGATACCGAAATAAACCTCGACGCTGAACAGCATTATCAACCACGGTAATGTACCGATCAATTCGAAACTTCAACATCCCCCCCCCCGGGCCGACCCCCGGGAATTTGAACTTTTTGAAATTTGACTCAAAATTTTGAAATTTGACTTAAAAAGTTTTAAAACCTTATGGAAATTTAACAGTTTTACACAATTGTATAGTACATACCTTCATGAAATGAAGCACATAGCTTTTCCATGCCTGTTTCTTTGAGCCAATTTTTCACAAAATTTAGCGGCCCTTTTCCCTCGAAATCTGAGAGAACTGTATTTGCCACCAATGTGAAGTCTTTTCTGTAGTGTTTTAATAATTAGTAACCTGCATGCAGAAAGCACACACATAATTTTAAGACTTCCGTTTCAAATTCCCCACTCTTATCAAATATCCCACTGGTCACATGGAAGACTTAGAACGTCAAATTCCCTACTCCCTGGAGTAGGGGTGCACCAGAACCAATTTTTTAAGTTCCGTCCGGAACCGGATCCAACCGGAACTGGAAAAAAGTTCCGGCCGGAACAGGAACTAATTTATCAAGCCATATATAGTCATATATTACTTATATTTGTCCGCTGCCAGACAGGCAGACACTTCAAGTCATCAAGGAGAGAGCTCGCAAATGTTAGAATAAAAAGACTGACAAACGTTAAACGTCATAATGAAGTGCTAATAGACCCAAATTTCTTCCTACTGTGAAATTTTGTTCGACACAAAAACGTTTGATATTCTATCTCTCTGAAAACGATAGAGTTCCGGTTCCGTGGCCATGCTTTTTTTTATTAGTTCCGGCTGGAACGGGAACTCTGAAAAATCGGGGTTCCGGCCGGAACTAACCGGCCGGAACCGAGTTCCGGTGCACCCTACCCTGGAGAAGACTTAATTGAAGTCAAATTCCTGGGATATGCCCGGGAGGATGTTGAAATTTCGAATTGGTACATAAGCTTCACTGATTTGAAAAGTAGCGAACTGGACAGTGAATCGGCTGATCCAGTGATGTGCTAAATATGCACTTATAAATCAATGTTAACCCCAAGGGGGGGGGGGGGTGGCAAAGAGTGGCGATTTGACATTTTTACATTAATTTAAAAAACTTCAAATGCCACTCCCTGTGCAAAATTCCCCACCCCCAGGATGAAAATGTATTCCTGAAGTATTTGGTTTCTGGCGCACTCTATATATGTCAGGTGATAGGGAAGGTTGTCTACTAACTAATCTTAATAAGCAACATATTTATACAATTTATTAAAAATGACACAAATACCTTCAGCGGTATTGAAAAGTATTACAAATATAATGAACTTTTCAAAATAACATAATGCGAACTGTTAACTTACAGTATATTAAGTATAAATCAATATTATATAAAATGGCTTATAAGTGTTTATTTCTTGTCCAGAAATCTCCATATTTCTTGTCAAAACAACATGTGAGATGGCTAGCGATGAACTAGTGCCCAGTCTTCAGTTTGTAAAAATATTGGGTCAGGTTTCTTCAGTATTTCGTTTGAGATCAGTGTTAATCTGTCAAGAATCCCCACCCTTCAGCCACTCAGAAAAAAGAGCCAGTCCCAACCCACGGGACAAACTGATTGATCAAATCCCCACCTTTTGCCCAACCCCCCTCCCCTCAAGGTTAACATTGATAGGTGCATAACACAAATTTGGCAACTTTAATTTTACAGATAGAAGAGGTTCTGGTTATTTGTAGCCCACAGGGGCGTAGGACAGTGATGGCGGAACAGGCTTTAGCCCCCCCCCCAAAGTAAAAGTGGGGGGGGGGGGCTTAGCCCCCCAAAATACATGAAGAATGCCAGAATGCGAGACCATTTATACAAACTTGATATAGAAATTGATTTTCTTTCACCCTGAGTATATATCTTTTATCTATACAGTAAATACTACAAAGTCAGAGTATTGGCCTTTGTGGTTATTTAGGAAATGGGACAAATAAGTTTCAGACTTTTCTAATGGGTGATTCCAGCTATAGACGAAATTTTGATCAAAGAAAGAAGAACGAAATCCAGCACCGCAGCTAGAAAGAGCGTCTTAGAATGAGTAAAACTACAAAGATCGGTTGCTAAATGTTGTAAAATGAAAAAAATATATAGCCCTGTGAAGTTCGCAAATTTTGTATATATTTCTATTACGCGCGGTAATTAAATTAAACAAGACAAGCAGGCGTTCACACTGGCCTGAAAATAACGAGATACGTGCATGCTATGGTGCAAAAGGCAGGAATACAAATCTTAAACCGCAAGCAAATTTCATGGACTTTTTAAAAAAATAAAAGACCTTTTCGGGAGACGTATACGTAATGGTGCAAATATATATTACTAGGAGTTACTATCGCAAGGAAAGTGCTGCCTTTATGGCGTATGAACTGAATGCAACAATTTATACTTCTAGACAATTCTCGGTTATATCCTCAATGTTTCCTTCTCGTTCATCATTTAAGCCCGTTCACAAACGCATTCTTAAATTGTGTGCACGGAATACGAGTAAATAGCCAACATGAAAATGAAGCCATTTGGTCAAAAGTGGATATTAAGGTCTATGTTACTATTAGCTGACAATGCACACTACTTTAGTATTAACTCTGGCTAACGTAATAACTTACTGACCGAGAGTGAGGGCAGTACGGGATAAGCTTGGGCGGTTTTGGTTAAAATTAAAACCGGTAAACCGTACGCTAAAAAACCGGTTAAACCGAAAAACCGGTTTTTTAACTTTAAAAAATTAACGCGATTCCAATATTGAATAACGCGCAATAACCGCTATCCTATAGCGGGCAAACAACGTGAAATCGACGTTAAATGGTTTGAAAACGTCATTTCGATGCCTGAAACCTTGAAACAACGTCAATTTCATGTTGTGTGCGCGCTGGGAAATAGGTACAAATGAAAACATAATTTCAACGCTCAACAATTGCACAAATTACACGTGTCTTTAGCGGTAAGGTTCGATAATTGTAATTTTATCAACCTTGTTTCCCACGCTCTTGTGCCTTCGCAGGATGATGATCGCGGAGATGGCGTTGAAGGTTGGAAGTATTTCCTCCAGCAGCAGAAACCTTTTTGAGGCAAAGCTTGCACGTCGGCTTGGCGTTGTCGTCTTCATCGGTTTTAAACACGAAATATATATTGACAAATTGGGGATGTAAACGACTTTTTCGAACGTAAATCGGCGGCGCTAACATTTTGTGTAGCCATGTTTGCGCTGATAATTGGCGAAGTAAAGACTTTACCGCGCGCGTGGAAAAAAATGTCATCACAACAGTCATATATGTCAGCATTGCTTAACAATTAACAATTATATAGTGCGCTTTTTGATATGTAGTAAAAACCGGTTTTCCGGTTATTGAAAACAAAAACCGGTTTAATAAAAAAAAACGTACAAAACCGGAAAACCGGTAAACCGCCCAAGCTTAGTACGGGAAAATATCCAACCTCGGTCTTGCTGTATTGACCGAGCGATAGCTAGGTCAATACAGCAAGACCGAGGTTGGATATTTTCCCGTACTGCCCGAACGGTTGAGGTCACTAAGTTTTTTATTATATGGCATTGTACGTTTGTAAAAAATGGGAAAAAAGGTCACGCGAGGGCAAAGTACAAAGTCCGAAACATTTGGAAAAAAGAACAATTGTAAAAAATATTCTCAAGCTTGGTTAGTAAAACTACTCTACAGCACTTTTTATATAGAATACTAACACAGTTTGGATAATATTTCAAGAAAAGTACGAGGTATTTCGTCATTTAATCAAAGACAGACTGACAGACAAAGACAACAAATATGAAAACAATAAAATTAATTAACAGTATTGACAAGTACGTTTTTAGTTCGCTTCATCTCGTAAATATGTCTCTTTTTAGGCCACTACAAGTTAATCTTTCGTTTCTGGTCCGCCGCCCGCGTCCTTTCTCCGTAAAGTATTATTTCAGGACTATTTTGTTATTTACAATTAATTTCTAATTCTTGAAAATTTTCGCGAAGGATTTAACTTATATAACGATAAATAGTCAATTTACACTAGAAAGATCCAGCAAAATGTAGTATTGCATGGTAGGCAATACGGGAAAATCCCGTGGGCAATACGGGAAAATCCTGCCTCGTCAGCAACCAATCAAATTGCGCGATTCATCAAAACAAATGCTTGCCATATAATAAATAACAATATTATTTGGCAAGCATTTGTTTTGATGAGTCGCGCAATTTGATTGTCTGCTGACGAGCGCAATTTTTATTGCCCTACGGCTACGAAGCTGCGAGCCTGCGACAACAGCCGCGGAGTTTCAAACGGCAAAAAATGTCTAAAAGTCTTTAAAACTATTCAAAACGAAGAAAAATAGACCTAAAATAGAGAAAAGGTGCCAATGCTGTGGTTAAAGAACTTTCTCAATACGTTTGTGTTAGCGAAAGTCGAATTTACAAGGTAAATTTTACCTCGAATTTTACAACGTTTATACTACACTACAGTATAAAGCAATCAAGAATAGTTGTGTTTTGACTATGTGAAGAGCTGCAAATTTTATTTGCAGATGGCCAGGAGGAATCTGACACCATCTAAATAAAAGATACAACTAAAGCAGCCACAGATTTGATAATTTTTCCCTGAAAATTTCTGTTTTATAAATATGAGATGAAGCGAACTAAAAACGTATACTTGTCGATGCTGTTTATTAATTTTATTATTTTCATATTTGTTGTCTTTGATTAAACTATCCAAACTGTGTTAGTATTCTATAAAAAGTGCTGTAGAGTGGTTTCACTATTAACCAAGAGAACATTTTTTACTAGTGTTTTTTTCCAAAGGTGTCGGACTTTGCCTTCGCGTGACCTTTTCCCCCCATTTTTTTACAAACGCACAGTGCCATATAATAAAAAACTTACTGACCTCAACCGTTCGGGCAGTACGGAAAAATATCCAACCTCGGCCTTGCTGTATTCACCTTGCTATCGCTCGGTCAATACAGCAAGTCTTCGGTTGGATATTTTCACGTACTGCCCTCACTCTCGGTCAGTAAGTTATTAAAATTGTTCCAATCAAGTTACCTCGGTCAATGCCTTACATTTTGCAGATATAAATAAAGTGACCAAAGCCTCTGCGGAGGAGAGTACTAGTGGGTTCCAATTAAAGCCAAACTACAACTAATCCATAGTACCCATATAGCAAAATTTTAACATTGCCTCCCACAGATGAAAGCTGAGAAGTAAGTGCCCTTTACCATTGTCTGTCCCCGCCACTTCACGTTGTTTCCTGCGCCCCTGATCAGTGCAATGAAGGTTTTTTCCTTGCTATGATAACTGGAAGTTTTGTTGCCTGCTCTGCTTGATTGCAGCCTGTAACATTCTTCAAGCTTCAACATTTAAAAATGTTGTGTATTACAAGTTTGCTTTTTTTGCTCATTTAACCTGGAAACACAGGTGTGGCAGAACCTTCTTTTAATTTTTTTCTCTAAAAAACTTGTTGGCCGACCAACAAATAACACCCTCAGCCTAGACATAGGGGTAGAACTTTTACTCGGCTTGCTTTCGTCCATTTTGGGCTAGTATAAGGTCGTAGGTTCCCTACCATGCCTGTGTTTTACAACAATTTCGTTACAGACCGTTCAACTCACACACAGTTTCATCGTGTACGTACAAGTTTAAGTCTTATCTCACGATCTCACACCGATACCTTGTCTTCGCATGACCACCTCTCTGAAATTCATCTTGTATCCACTGTTGTGTTGATCAAACTTTGATAAACATCTGTACCAGCTCTGTATATTTGTTTCTACCCATTATATGTAATACGAAAGATTGACTGCGTTATTAATCCTACAAGCTCGTACCTGTATCTCGTGCTTAGCAGTAATCGCTGAGTGCTTTATGAACAGTTTTTCGTCCCCGAACAGACCTAATTTGGGGTCTGCATAATCCATTGTTTCTAATAAGATCGACTGATTGACATTATAATTTTTATATATATTTTGAATATGTTGTATGGTATCAATTTAAAATATGTTTTTTTCTTATTTTCAGATGTTACAAGACCCACGTATGGTATCCCGATTGTCCGAAGGGTGCTAAATACATTGTTATTTACCGTGAACCGTGTGCTGCTTTCAACAGTTTCTTTAAATTCTTTGAGGGTTGGATGTTTCAACCTGGAGAAGTTTCACTTCATGAATTTGTGAAGGATTTTTTGCTCGCTCGTGAAGTACCACAAAACAAGATGGAAAATGCATCCTATTTCGTCCACTTGATTAGCTGGTGGGAACACAGGAATGATTCGAATGTTTTGTTTCTGTTCTTTGAGGATATGAAAGATGATTTGGAAAGTGTAGTTAGGAAGACTGCAGCATTCATAGGAATTCAGGATAAAGTAAAGATTGAGAAGGCTGTGGAAATGAGCTCTTTTGAATTTATGAAGGGAAACCGGAAGAAATTTTCAGCGATGCGCATCGCACGTTATCGGAATGTAGCTTGCGGGGTACCCCATGATGTTGTGCCCAATATGGTTGTCACAGGATCTGCAACAAAAGGACGAGAGTTAATGGATGATAAAACTAAAGAAATAATTCAAGGAAAGTGGCTGGAAGTTGTTGCTAAACAAACTGGATTTCAAGATTATAATGAGTTGAGAAGTGCATTCAAAAAGAATAATAATTAAGAAATATTTAAAATTGTTTTTAGTATGTCGGAAACAAAACAGATTAGGGGATGATACGGTGGCCGACAAGGGCAACACAAATATTTAGATGAAACTCAAAATAATATTTAGATGAAACACATTTATTAAGCGAACAATTAAGCGAACACGTTTATTAAGCAAACACGTTTATTAAGCGAACACGTTTATTAAGCGAACACGTTTATTAAGCGAACATATTTATTAAGCGAACACCTTTATTAAGCGAATACGTTTATTAAGCGAACACGTCTATTAAGCGAACACGTTTATTAAGCGAACACATTTATTAATCGAACACATTTATTAAGCGAACACGTTTATTAAGCGAACACAAATATTTTTTAACAACCCGACTACCGGAAATGGAAGGCCTAAATCCCGATTTTAGGGAGTATGTGTCAACTGATCGTCTTAGTCTCCTGTGTCTTGGTCGAGCATACTTTCAATATTAAATATGGATGGCGAAAGTTCATGGTCGAGTAAATTTTGTCATTGTTGTGGAAATGCTCTTGAAAAAGGTTACAATTACTGTCCAAATTGCGGGCAAGAGGTTTTAAAGTGGTAAATTAACGAATTATTCTGGTATCCAACCCCCCGGTTCTGAAGCACTCGGGATTTAGGCCTTCCATTTCCGGTAGTCGGCTGTTAAAAATATTTGTTTTCGCTTAATAAAAGTGTTCGCTTAATATTAAACGTGTTCGCTTAATAAATGTGTTCGCTTAATAAACGTGTTCGCTTAATAAATGTGTTCGTTTAATAAATGTGTTCGCTTAATAAACGTGTTCGCCCTGGGAACGAGGATGGCTGCTACAATCTTACAACCTTGTTCCCAGGGCTTTTCCCTTTTTGTCATTGGGAAAAGCCCTGGGAACGAGGTTGACAATCTTAGTGATTGGGATTATTTTAAAATAACTTTGTAATTGTTGGTGTTGGGTGTAAAAACTATGACATTGTTTGTGACTTTGTGAAAGTGTGGACTTCTACAACGTGCTCCCCACAAATACACAGTTTGGTATTAGTAAATGAAAATTGTATACAGTAGCAGTTTTAAAACCTTTGAATTCGCATGCTGACATTGTAAAAATATGTCCTTTGGCCGATTAGTATAGCCATGATGCTCGAACCGACCTGACCGCGTAGCTCATTTGGCAGAGCATTGGGCTAGTATTCCAAAGGTTGTAGGTTCGATCCCCACCGTGGACAGGCATATTTTTCAAGCTTGCCCGGTGTGGATATACACGATAGGGTATATTTAGGCTTTTATTAGAACAAATTACAGAAATTCATAGGATATGTGACAACAAGAGGTTGATTAGTATATAATCGAACGCGTTTGTGTTTCGACAAGTTGTACAGTGTAAAGGCACACACAGACCGGACGCGATTCGGCAACGCGACGCGAATTTTTAGTTTTCAAAAACAAATAAAACCGTCAACGGATAAAAATTTTACAAGATAAGCTGACCAAATAGCTAAAATTGCTTAAGTGGTTCCGAATATTTGAAAGACATTGAAAAATATTAAAGTTAAATGTCAATGAAAACTGAAAATTCGCATCCCGTTGCCAAATCGCGTCCGGTACGTCTGTATGGACCTTAATTCGAGATTTCCCTTATTACGTTTTCGTAGCGCTTTCCATTGTGGTTATAGTGGTATCACTGATAAAGATAGCGGCCTCGAATGAAAATATTGAATGTTTTCGCGAATATTTTGCTGTTGGCTATCGCGCACCTGACCCTAGCTTTTTTAAAAGTTCTTGCACGGGTGAGGACAAAAAATAAGCAATCTTGAATGTCAGTGACACTACTATAACCACAATGCAAAGCGCTACGAAAACGTAATAAGGGGAATCGTCAATTCATTGATTACGTTCATGTTCTCAAAAACGTTGCTTGCTTAAGCTCGCTAATGTCTGTCCCCGCCGTTTCACGTTGCTTCCGGCGCCCCTTGATCAGTGCAATGAAGGTTTCTTCCTTGCTATGATTGCTGGAAGTTTTGTTGCCTGTTTGCATGATTGCAGCCTGTAACATTCTTCAAGCTTCAACATTTAAAATGTTGCGTATTACAAGTTTGCTCTTTTTGCTCATTTAACCTGAAACACAGGTGTGGCAGAGCGTTTTTTAAATTTTTCTTCTCTAAAAAAACTTGTTGGCCGACCAACAAATAACACCCTCTTCCTCAGCTCAGACCTAGGGTTAGAACCTTTACTCGGCTTGCTTTGGTTCATTTTGGGCTAGTATAACTAGGTTCCCTATCATGCCTGTGTTTTACAACAATTTCGTTACAGACCCTTCAACTAACACAGTTTCATCGTGTACATACGATTTTAAGTCTAATCTCACACGAATACCATTCGGATTATGCGCTTTCCATTTAGAGTGCCTGACCGGAAGGCACTGAAGGGTTGTTTACCATTTACATGGAAAACCCATCCGGTTTGAATTTAATCGCGAAGAGCCTGGAACTGGTGAAAAAATAAAAAAAGATGTCAATGGAACAAATCACCAGTTGAAATGTTCCAAACGGTAAGAGAGGACAACCTTTTCAAACAAACCGTTCGTTCCAGAAAAGTTCCGATTGGGCCGTCGAAATAGGCTTGTTCCAGTTCCGCATGGCCACCTCTCTGAAATTCATCTTGTATAGATGGTTGTGTTAATTAATTAATCAAACAAGTACCTGTATATCTTGTGCTTAGCTGTAGTCGCTGTGTGCTCTATGTAATATTTCAAATCTGAGTTAGTGTTTTTAGACGTGGTTTCTAAATACAAGTGCCATGAACAATGGCGAGAGGCGCAGCCGAGCCATTGTTCATGGCACTGGGGATTTGGAAGCCAAGTTTAAAACACTAACGAGGATTTGAAATTGCTTCTCACACATTATTAGACTTTCATGGCAATGAGGCATGAAATTATTAGATATTCAAAAAAGTGAGCGTGGGCATTAACGATTACATTCGCTTGAAAGTTTGCATGAAGTGCAACGAAGCATTCAGTTCGCTTTCGTCGTGAATAGATGAATTTTGTTGGCAAAAGAGCATGGTATGTTCTTATAATATAAGAAAAAGCGGTTTCGAGAACCAGAAAGTGTTGAGCACAGTATTGTGCACAGTATTGTCGCTCGGTTGACAAGGTTGGGGATCCGAAAAACGATATATCAGATTGTGTGTGCGATAAGGCGCTATCTGGTGGAAAATGAAAGAGCCGAAGTGAATATATATTTTATAGACGGTAAACATTACTGGTAAGTTGCTGTATTATAGTATTTAAAGCGCTGTTTATTATGATAGTTGGTAAAAAAGTTGGTTTTCCTATATTTATGTAGTTTTCAAACGTTCAGGAAAAGTGTTAGCTATAAAGTGTAGTTAGAATAAATTTCTAAATACAACTTACTGTATTTAGAAATAATTCTAAACATAGCAATTAAATATATTTGCATAATCTTTTGTTTACCCCTCAATTTCCCTATTGTTCAAAGCCCTTCCCACTTGAAGTAATTAAAGTCCTGGTCTAGACAGAGTATCCAGATAGATACACGTGATGTAAATTAAACCATGTCATTGGCCGAAATGCTATGAATATCTAATGATGTATGAGAAGAACAGTTTTTTGTCCACGAACAAATCTAATCTGAGATCTGCATATCCATTGTTTGTAATAAGATTGACTGATTTTTATATATTCTGAATTTGTTGTATGATACAAAGTTGGATGAAGCTAGGAAGAGGCATAATATTCCTGTTCACTATACTCCGTGTACAAAAAGGTCCAAATTTAATTGAATATTCAAATTCCAACACTAAAGGAGATAACTTTTCGAATCTACTCTGTCTAATGTAATGTCCTTAACACCTAAGGCCCCGATTACACTATACCGGATTGCATCGAAGCGACGCGATTTCTGTACCGGATTGGCCTCTTGTTTACACTACGCCACTGTAATCCGGTACGTGCCGCGGCGCGAAAATCACTTCGCTTTGGAGGTGATATGAAAAGTAATCCGCTACGTGCTGTACCGGATAAAACCAAGTGTAATCAGGCAATCCGGTACGCTCCGGTACTATAAATAGGTTTCGGCAAGTATATTTTAACATTGTCGTTTTATTTACTCGCTTTTAAAGCTGGGTTACAGTCCATTCTGCGCATGTGCGGGCTTTGTTTACATCTTTTGTTTTGGTTTGGATCCATTTCAATTAGATAATATGAAGTATACGACTATGCACTAAACAAAATGAAGAAACCAGGAGTGAAGTAAATTTTTTTTGTAAATTGTCTTCTGAAAGACAAGCAATTAAATATTTTAACAGACCACCAATGAAAGATATATTGTTGATTTAATAATTCGGCATTTTTCTTTCGTGTGCGGTGTGATTCGTAAATGAAATATCCAGAAGAGGCCGACACAGCAAAGCCAAAGGTGCCGGGTGCGAGTTCGCAATTGTAAAATAAACTTTGGAAGTGCCAAAGTAATCATAAACCTTTCCTTGGGTTATTTGTTCGTCGGAACACACTGTCAGAGTCATTGTTGCTGTCATGGCAGGAGCACTCGGAGAAATTAAGCTTTTCGCTGGAAGATATGTGGAGACGATATGTTGATGTCGCGGCTTCTGTTTTCCATAGAGAGCCTGCAAAAGTATGGGTAGTTTTTTCTCAAGCGCATGCCACGAATAGGATTTTGATACATGTATGAACAATCGAAGGGTTCAAGAACGTGACAGTGACCATACGGTAAGTTTGTATTATTGCTATTAGTTTGTACTGTTCACTTATACTGTTCGTTATACTGTTCGGTATAAACATGATTCGATTCACACATCACATGTACATGTAATCTTATTATTTTCGCTCATTGTAGTTTATACATTTGATTTGAGAATATGTAATGTTATTCATTGTGACTGTTTACTCTAAACGAAGGATAATGATCATCTAACAATAGATGAATAAACTTTGTTTACATAGTTTAATACTTTGCCTGCCAAGAATATGCACAGACATACAGTGTACATTTGAGTGACAGTACATTTCTGAAAGCTTTAACACATATGATTTGTTTTATTACATACTCTGCATAATTATGCATATCTTTGCCGAGTAAAATATCAAATTATGTAAAAAGAGTTTACCCCTCTATACAAGTCTATAGAGAAATTTGTGGTAAAAATATCCGTGTTTCATTGTGCTTGAGTCTTTGCATTTAATTAAATTAATGATAAATATCTTTACATTTCAGAATCTGGTGGAAGCAATGGATTTAATTTTAAATGGGCCCCAAGAGCGTCAGCCTAAATGCCCTATACAGCGTCAGCCAGCTACATTTGCTGATTTGGTTAAGTAATGAAGTGTCAGGTGCACCGCTTCACTGAGACCCAGAGGAAAACCCAGAAAATGTCCCAGAGTGTTGCGAATGTGGATGCTGTGTTGCAATGCCAACACAATTGGAAAACAAATGCTGTACACAAACAATACAGCTTCGCATGACCCTAGCCCCTCTGTTCCCCACAGTTAGTACTTTATGGAAACGTTCTGGACCTGGCCATGCATTACAGGGCTGGGAAGACTGTTTAGTGTTAAATAATGTTAGAAACAATGAAAATTTTCACCATGCTGCTTACAAACAATATGTACTCCAGATGGCAACATGAAAAGATAAGGAAGTGGGAACAGGAGAATGATTCCAAGCTGTTGTGTTACGGCAATACGGAAACGATATCCTTCTCCAAATGGGATATACTCTGCTAGATTGTAAATATTTGTTGCACATGTTGTTATTATGTTATTGATCATTGAGGAAAACATTATTTCACTAAACCATTTTACTGCAATTATCTCCCCATGACAGGGAGGATCATTTTAAATATTTTGAAAGAACTTGGGTAATTCCCACCTGCATGCATGTTAATAAGACCCATTCACACAAGCGATTTTAAGCTGTGATTTTCTCCTTTTGGGATACAGTATGTGATTTAGCAAAATTACAGGAAATATTACTTTGCATGGCTTAGCTCATATATTCGTTGTGATATTCACTCAAACACATGCACCAAAAGAAGAAAGTTGCAATTCAAAATTGCTTGTGTGAACTAGCCTTTATAGCCCCATTGCTTTAAACTTATTTTAAGCTTTCTCTGTCTACTAAACACAGCAAATTCTGCTAACAAATGAGAGCCTTTATCATGTTAATTGGTTAAATCTTTATGAACAGTAATATTTCATTTTATAAAAGACAAGTTATCAAATGCATTGGATGTTCCAGCACAACATTTGGTACTGACGTTGATATTTTTATCCTTTAAAATTA